CTGCATTCAGGTTCCATAGTTCTTTCTCTGGATGTGGATAGTACTTTCCATCCTGAATCTTTTGGAATTATCTTAGATCATTGCATTGCTCAAAAGAGCTAGGTCTATCAAAGTCGGTCATCACACAATGTTGCTGTTACTGTGTACAGTGTTCTCCTGGTTCTGCTCGTTTCACTCAGCATCAGTTCAGAACTTTTTTCCCCCTAACTTTTATGGATATGCTTTCCTGGGGAGAGAGAATTCAGAAAAGAAGGTAATGCAAAAATAAAACATGTAAAACAAATTTTTTTAAAGTTGATACAAACAGTTGTTAAAATTTCCTAAACTGGGGCAGCTAGGTGGCACAGTGGATAGCGCACCGGCCCTGGAGTCAGGAGGACCTGAGTTCAAATGTGGCCTCAGACCAGACACTTAACACTTACTAAGCTGTGTGACCCTGGGCAAGTCACTTAACCCCAATTGCCTTGCAAAAAAAAAATCCTAAACTTTATAACGGACTGTTTTAAGGTTTTTATAATTGTTGTTAAATAAGTATCTTGTGAAGCAAAAAGAAAAAAGTTGATGCAAGATCATTTGGCAGAAGCAAGCTTATTTGGGAAATAGAGCAGCAATGCATGATGTGAAGTTGCCTTTCACAGAAAAATGGGATGCAACAGCTTCAGCCTGGTTTTTGCCTCAATGCAATCCAAGTATCCTATATTAATGGCATTCTCCAGATTATAACCTAGTAACCCTGTCAAAAAAGAGAAATAGAGTCTTGGTGTGACCTATTCTGGAAGAAGCTATGCTGGTTCAATGAACTCTGCTTCCCATTCTAAATTATTATAGTGATGTTGATACTTTAACTTTTTGACAACTAGACCTCCAATAAAGCTGTGGTATGAAGAAGATTCAGTCGTCTTCCTTTAAAAAACAAAACAAGCTCAGCACTTCTCCCATTTGTCAGAATTTTGTTTTTAGGTCACAACCATCATCACATCCCTGAATTCTTGGTAGCCCTAAGAAGTAGTTTGGGGTTATTTGAAGTGATTGGGAGCAGCAGAACATTCTCTTGCCATTTCCTCCCCTTTCTTGGGTTTCACTTTCCTGCTAACCGTTTTTGTAGATCTCTTTAAGATGACAGCTTTTCCCCTTCTCGCTGGGATCCTCGCCAGTCCTGAGAGTGCCCAGCTTGGCGTAGTAACAGTGTAGAAGTCTGCCTTTTGTCCATAATCATTGACCCATCCCTTCCCCTTCTCTTTGACCTCCCTGCTCAAATGTTGTCTGTCCTTTTTATTGTCACCAGTATTCATTGCCAGCCTTGGTTCATTCGTTCTGAGCTTTTGTGTTAGTGGTGGATGGACGTTTGTGTAACATCCCAGGCTTACCGAGCGAGCCCTTGACAGAGATGCACATTTGATCGTCACGGTGGCCCTGTGAGGTAGAGGTCATTGGTAATCTCCTTTACTAAGAAGGGTTGGAGTGAGAGGGAGGACACAAACCCAGGTTCTCTCCTGACTCCAAGCCTAGTAGTTTTTCCTGGCCATGCTGCCTTTCCAGCTGCAGGAATGATGATGATACTATATATGAAGTAACATGGTTGTTCTTGAGTAGCTTCAGCCATGTTATGAGCTCATTTGGGGTTTTCTTGGCAGAGATACTGGAGTGGTTTGCCTTTTCCTTCTCCAGCTCATTTTACAGTTGAGGAAACTGAGGCAAATGGGGTGAAGTGAATTGCCCTAGGTCACACAGCTAATAAGAGTCTCAGGTCAGATTTGAACTCAGGTCTTCCTGACTCCCAGCCAGGTACTCCATCCATTGTACTGCCTCACTGCCCAAGGTCACACAGCTAGTAAGTGTCGGAGGCCGGGATTTGAACTCAGAAAGATGAGTGTTCCTGCCTCCTGGCCCAGTGCTCTAGGCACTGCACCACCTAGCTGTCATTCTTACAGTACTGTTTTGTGTTGTGTTTTGTTTTGTTTTTTAAGAAAATTATTATTCATCAATTACTTGCCCTTCTGTACCTGTTAGGCTTTTGTTTTTTAATCTTAATGAATGAGTTTCCTGTGTATTCATCTCTCTCTCCCCCTCCCTCCCTTTCTCCCCTCTCCTCTGGCTTGGTTCTCTTTCCCTCCATGGGGTTCACCATCTTGGTGTTGGACTTAGTGCAGACATCTGATTGACTTAGACTACTGGAGTTTAGAACTCCCTATCTCAGATGATCCACCAGTCTCAGCCTTCCAGAGGGGAGGGATTACGACATACCCAACCATCCCCCAACTCCAGCCCCGCCATTGGGGCAGCTAGGTGGTGCGGTGGCCAGAGCACCATTCTCCAGCCTGGAGTCAGGAAGACCTGAGTTAAAATCCAGCCTCAGACATTCACTAGCTGTGTGACCCTGGGCAAGTCACTTAACCCTGATTGCCTCAGTTTCCTCATCTGTAAAATGAGCTGGAGAAGGAAATGGCAAACCACTCCAGCATCTTTGCCAAGAAAACCCCAAATGGGGTCATTTAAAGTCAGACAGGATAGGCCTAAACTATAACAACCATGCTAGACTACGTAGATCACTTTAGATCACTTTTTCCCCTTATTTTGAGATAGCTTATGTCTCTGCTTTTAGTTATGTCTGAGATTCCATTCCTCTTAACATCAGTTCTCTAGAGGGATGGAATCCTTCTCTTCTCTTGCAATTCTGAAATCCATCCTCCTAAAATCGCAGGAGGGTCATGCTATGACCAGATCTCCATTTGTGCTGGGCAGGTAACAGCCAAAGGGTCACATCAACTCTTGTTAAGCAGCCAGTCAGAATCTGGTTGAAAATAAAAAGTACCCTTGTCACTTTCTTTACCTGTTATGCTAAATTATTAAAGCTATCATGGCTCTATAAGAGTTGTATAAACTATGATAGTTATACAAGCTATTATATATATAAGCTATAATGGCTATGCAAGAATTACATGAACTATTATGCATGTTATAATGGCTATATGATAGTTATATAAGCTATAAGCTATTACATTATGTGTAATGTAAGCTATAATAGTTATATATGCATTATATATAAAATCTATATAAGATTAGATATGTATTACATTTTATATACACAATAATAGTCTATGTGATAGTTATACATGCTATATGTATAAGCTATAATAGAGTCACGTAAAATATTACATATACATTATATATAATAGCTAGATAAAGGTTATATACATTATTATATATACATACATTATATAGGCTATAAAGGCTATATTAGTCATATAAAAGCTATAATAGCTGTATAATAGTTTCAAGCAAGCTTTAAGCTCACACTAAAACTTTTGAGACACAAATCTCTCCAAGATTATTTTTTTAAAAAGACAAATCCAACTCCCATTGACTTTCATGTCAAATAGCTTGATAAGGTAGTTCTCAGACTGGAGTGGAAGTGAGAGGAGAGGAGCATAGTATGAGCAGATGGCACTTATGGCCCTTTGCCCTTTCACCCATACTTTGCCTGGAGGTCATCCTCAGTCATTGGGAAAGCACTGGGGTGCAAGGGCTATGAGTCTCTAGAGGAGCTTGTGGTACAAGCTGGGAGCTAACACCCTATTGTGTGGGGATCTTGGTTAACCACTCTTAACACATAGCTTACATGTGGGGGTCAATTCTCAGCCTGGTGTTCCCACTAGGATGGGCTACTTTCTAAGAAGAGGAGTCCGTGGTGTAGGGGCTACTTTGGTGAGGAAGGGGTGAAGGAAGCAGGTGAGAAGCAGCTAGTATGGGAATTTGTTTTACTCAACTATGCAGAGGTGCTGTTTTTCTTCTAAGTGGGGGAGAAGTGTAGAGATGATAGAGAAGGGAGAGGGAAAGCCAAGAAAAAGAAAAGAGGGTTATTGAAGCACTTTTAAATGCACGGAAAAGAGCAAAAAGAAGGAGAGAATATCAGAACAGTTCTGAAAATTACATGTCGCATCTATTATATATTTCAAAAGAAAAGCTATATGTAATAAAGGTTCACAGTTTCACATACAGTCTTCTTTATTTTTCTAATCTAATTTTTTTAGACTACTAAAATGTCCACCTAATTTGGTGTTTAACTTCAGAATGAAAAATTTTTTTAAGAGACTAGGTGAGGGGAAGTCACCTAGTTTGGAGAGTTTCTAACCATATGTGGCCTCACGTCCCTGTGACAGATACATTATTAGAATTCATAGAACCAGCATTGTTCCTGTTGATAGAGAACATCTCTTTTTATTTTTTTAAATTTGTTTTTAATTTTTAACATTCATTGTCATAAGATTTTGAGTTCCAAATGTTTCTTCCCCCGCCAAGATGGCACACAATCCAATATAGGCTATACTTGTACAGTCATATTAAACGTATTTCCATGTTGTGTCATGTTTTGAAAGAAGACCAGAAACAAAGGGAAAAACCATGAGAAAGAGGAAAAAATAACAACAAAAAGAGAAAATAGTGTGCTTTGATCTGCATTCAGACTTCATCAGTTCTTTCTCTGGATATGGATAGCATTTTCCAGCATGAGTCACTTGGAATCGTCTTAGATCATTGTATTGCTGAAAAGAGCTAAGTCTGTCAAAGTTGATCCCCGCACAATGTTGCTGTTACTGTGTACAATGTTCTCCTGGTTCTGCTCACTTCACTCAGCATCAGTTCATGTAAGTTTTTCCAGGTTTTTCTGAAATCCGCCTGTTCATTATTTCTTATAGAAGTAGTATTCTATTACATTCATATAACACAACTTGTTCAGCCATTCCCCAATGGATGGGCATCCCTTCAATTTCCAATCTTTGGCCACCACAGAAAGAGCTGCTATAAATATCTTTATACACGTGGGTCCTATTAGAATGTGTCTTGATAGAGTAGGAGCCGCCATTTTTTCTGTCTCAGTAAATCCTACCATCTACATCTCTGCATCTACTCGGGGATGCTGCTGTGGGCCGACTTGGGTTCAGATAGATAAGGGAAATGTTATTGGCCCAGGAGGATCTTACCTACCTTTACTCCCTGTGCAGGAATGGACCTCTCTGCCAATCAGGATGAAGAGAGTGACCAAGAAACTTTCCAACTAGAGATCAATAGGGACACTAAGAAGTGTGCTTTCCGGACCCACACTGGCAAGTACTGGACCCTAACATCAAATGGTGGAATACAGTCTACTGCTTCAACCAAGTGAGTACCTGGGCTCAGGGGGAGGCTTTTTTTTTCTTATTTTTTGAGAGTAGTTCTTTCCCTCTCTCTCTCTTTCTCTCTCTCTCTCTCTCTCTCTCTCTCTCTCTCTCTCTCTCTCTCTCTCTCTCTCTCTCTCTCTCTCTCTCTCTCTTTTTCTCTGTCCTAGTGCAGCAGCCACTTACAAGCTTGACCCCCACCACTGATAGGCATGGAAATTTTAACTGGCTCCATTTCTGAGCTGGTTGGTTTGCCACTCCTTGGACGCCTCATGGCCCTCGCTTGTAGGGGCTCATCGTATTGTTGCCAGACTTAGTACAGATGTGCATGTGGTTTTAGCTGTACTGCAGCTCTTAACTCCTGAATTTACATTTGTAAGTACTATCGCCTCAACCTCCCAAGGAGCATATGCCACCATGTGCACAGTCCTGGGGAAGCTAATGTGGTTTAGTTAGATAACCTGGGCATTCTAACAGGTGAGTGGGCCACTGGCTAAGAGTAACTGCTCCTGATATGGAAGGAAGAAAAACTGTGTCAGTTGCCCAACTGGAGGGCTTTTTCTAGCCATCTTTTTTCATTGGCTTTTATGATCAATGTTGATCCCTTCTTTTCTTTTCTTTTTTTTTTTTAAGGCAATTGGGGTTAAGTGACTTGCGCAGGGTCACACAGCTAGTGTTAAGTATTTGGTCTGAGGCCAGATTTGAACTCGGGTCCTCCTGACTTCAGGGCCAGTGTTCTGTCCACTGCACCACCTACCTGCCCCGTTGTTGATCCCTTCTTGCTGCCACTGACCACCAGCATGGGTCCGGGCTCTTAGGCTTAAGCTATAGCCATATGCTTGGAGTGGAAACTTACTGGAACTGAAAACTCAGAAGGAAGTCTTTTTTTTTTCTTCCTTCATAGCAGTCTGTGTTTTGAAGATGTATATGGCTGCTGAACCATCTAGCTTGGCTACCTATAACGTATGAAAAAATGGAAAACTGTTCAAAAAGCCAAATTGAGAGCTTAGAATAAGTGTTCTCAACCTGAGGCTCGTGAACTGTTTTTCTTAATATTTGAGGACTATTTTAATATAATTGGCTTTTTAATCTTACATATTTTATTTAATGCATTTAAAAACATGAGAAGGGATCCATAAGGGTCCAGGGCCTAAAAGAGGGTGAAGAATCCCTGGGTTACAGTATATGAAAATACCTAAATATTTTTAACCCCTTTTCTACCCAAAAGATTTTCTTCAGAGTTCCTTGATCTGTGGTCAGTATAGAAACAGGCCTGAGCCAGAGTCATGAAGCTTGCCTCTTTTGTAAGTCAACAAGCATTCGTTAAAGCACCTACTGTGGGCTGGGGGCTGTCTCCAGTCATCCTGATCTATAGCTGGCCACTGGACCCAGATGGCTCTGAAGGGGAAAGTGAGGCTGGTAACTTTGCACAGCCCTGCCTCACTTAAGTCCAATTCACTTGCAAGTCGTGGCATCACCTCCCTGATGTCATGGTCCTCTTCGAGAACTAAGGACAAACAATACTGTAGGCCAAGCTTCTGCAATCCATGATATGGACAAGATATTTTCAGAGGGATTGAACTCTTTGGGATCACAGGGTCTTAGATGTGAAACAGGAAAGGACCTCAGAAAACCAGCTTTTCTAACCTTAATTTGCCCAGTGTCACACATGTAGTGACGGGGCAGTGTTTGAACCAAGTCCTTGGACTCCATTGCCTGTTTTCTTTCTGCCATATTGCCTTAAGTAACATATTTATCCAGCATGGCTGCAGTTCAAGTGCCCACTTTCCTGGGCAGTGGTGAAGATATAAACTTAGGTAAATCTTTGCAATTCTGCAATGGGCTAGGATGCAGACTGTACTACATAGCTGTAGTGCACAGGTGCATTAAACTTGGAAAATAAATTGTGTGAAGTTCAAGGAAGGAGGAAAGCATGATTTAGGAGCAATGTATTTCAAGAGTTTGGGGAAGAAGACTTGGATATTGAAGAGGAATTTGAAATGTGACTCCTTCCTTGAAACTTTAGGAATATTTAATCAATGATAGTCAAACATTTTTTTTTAGGCAACTGGGGCTAAGTGGCTTGCCCAGGGTCACATGACTAGTACATGTCTGAGGTTGCATTTGAACTTAGGTCTTCTTGACTCTAGCACTGTATCCCCTGTCCTACCCAGCTGCCCCAGGTGGACTTTAGGCATGTATTTTCTTTTCTTTTTCTTTTTTCTTTTTTCCTTTCCATTCCGTTCCATTTCGTTCTGTTCCGTTGCTTTCTGTTCCTGTGAGGCAGTCAGGATTAAGAGATTTGCCCCGACTCACATAGCTAGTAAGTGTTATATGTCTGAGGCCAGATTTGAACTCAGGTCCTCCTGACTCCAGGCCTCTATCCCCTGCTCCACCTAGCTGCCCCTCTGACCATGTATTTTCATACATGGTCAGTGAAGGTGACCTGGATGACCTGTTTTGCTTAAATGCATTTATTTGCTACAAGGGAGGGTTCTGTGGGGTGTATGGGGGAGGAATCCTTTGAAAATGAGAGTGATATTTTTTGAAAAATTAAAAGACTTCCGAAAAAACAAACCTATTTAGATTCAGGACTCAATTGTTTGGTTGCACATTTCCATATTTGAAGGTAGAGATGTGGTGTACGGGGGTTTGATCAGACCCTCATAACAGCTGCTTCTGCTTGGGTCTCTGGGTCCTCAGGAATGCCAGCTGCTACTTTGACATAGAATGGTGTGACAAGCGGATCACTCTCAAGGCTGCCAATGGGAAATATGTCACCGCAAAGAAAAATGGACAGCTGGCGGCCTCTGTGGAAGCAGCAGGTGAGACTGACTCAAGGAGAGTGGAGGAGGAAAGGAAAGGGGGTGTACCCTTTAGGTTTCATTTTAAGAAGTGTTAAAGCTTTTCCATTTGTAATTTTAAATTCATCTAGTTCAGGGGTGGAAAACAGAATCAGACCAAAAAACAATCAACAATTGAAATCCCTGAAAGTTTAAAAAAAAAAAAAGGTACGTGTTTTCTCTGTAGATTTTCATACATGTTACCTTTCTTAGCATGACAGCTGAGGTTGCTTTTCTTTTGGTCTATTTGTATCTGTTGATACTAAAAACCACCATTTGCAACTAGCTTTTTCCATATTCACATCTGCTGATTTGGCATGCAGATGCTTCTTGCAAGAGTGTTTTTTTTTTTTACCCCCCTAACTGTTCCTAGCAGTTAGTTATGTGGTAACAAAACAAGTGTGTCCCTTAGAGAGAATGAGATACTAAATGGGGATTTTTTTTTCTTAATTTTTTCTTTTATCCCATTAAGTTTGGGAAATGATTGGCAGTGGTTCTTTCTTTCCCCCCAGGGGAAGGGAAAATGTATACTTTCTACCTTTTACTTTCCAGATTTTCAGAACTTTTTCTGATTAATGTTTTTTTGGTTTGGGGAGGGTGGAGAGAACAAAATTCAAACCAGACTCTCAAAGAAGAAACTCTGTGCTCAGAGATAGGGGAAGGGTGCCAGGTATAGGAGACAGACCTTACCCTTTGGCAGGTGACAGTGCAATTGGACAGATGGGATAAATGCCTTTCACAGAAGGAAAAAAGCTCCCCCTAAGCTGTGGTTTTGCCTGGAGAACAGTCATAGGCTTCCTTGGAACCCACTCCCCCCTACACCTTGACCCTTGCTTATCCAAGAATGTCATTCATGGTACCTACGTCCAGCTCCTCTCCTGTCACCTCAGGAGCCCCATCTACCCCTTCCAATCCTTCTTACAAAAATTCTCCTTTAGACCATTTGGTCCAAATAAGTTTGTGTATTCAGTTTCATCAATGGTTTCATAACCCAAAGAGCCAACCGTCCTCTCCTATGTTGTTAAGACTTTGTGACCCTTGCTTTTTACCTAAGATGACTGTCCTTCTCTTTTACCAAATCCTTTTGACCCCAGATTGTGTCCTTTTGGCAAGAGCCAATGACCCTAATTTCCTTTGAATTTGGAAAGTTAACTATCACTTTCTTCCTTTTTTGCTCCTTTCCTGTTGAGTAGGAGAAACTGAGTATTTCTTGATGAAACTGATCAATCGACCCATCATCGTCTTCCGTGGGGAACATGGCTTCATTGGATGCCGGAAGGTGACTGGGACCCTGGATTCCAATCGATCCTCGTACGATGTGTTCCAACTGGAATTTAACGATGGTGCCTACAATATCAAAGGCAAGTTCTGCTGTTCTTGGGGAGGGGGCAGAAGGCTTAGCCACGTTTTTCCCTCAGTCCTTGCTGCCCTTGAGGAAGTAACAGGCGGCATTGTCTCATGGCTTTGGAGCTAGAATGGATTGTAAGGACCATGTAGTCTACCCTTTCATTTTACAATTAAGGAAACTGAGAGGAGTTAACTTAAAGGGTCTCATAGGTAGTAGGTGACAGAGGCGAGATTTGAACTCGGGTCCTCTGACTCTAAATCCATTCTTTAAAATTTTCAAAACACAATCATTCTGTTTTCTCACAGTAACTATTAGGTGTGATTCAGGACAGAATTTTTGTTGTTGATTTCAGCTTTGTGGTTTGTGGACTCCTTAATATAGGGCAAAAGGGCCTTATCTATCCTATCCATCCATCACCTGGTCCTAACAGAATTTTCCTGTATTTTTAAAAAGAAGTTTAGAGGCTCAGAGTTGGAAGAGACCTAAGAGGGAATCTAGTCCAATCCACCTCTGACTGAGAAATCCCACCACAGTATCCAGCAAATGGGTATGCAGACCTTTGCTTAGAAAGCTCTAGGGAGAGGGAAATCACTATCTCAAAGGTTTCTAACTAAGAAGGAGCCTCCTTCATTTTTACAGTCAAGGAAACTGAGGCCCAGAGAGGTTGTGAGTTGCCTGTGCTCATATATATAGATAATAAATGTCAACTAGACTGAACCTGTGGAGGCCAGAGCCGAGCAGACAGAGAAGGCGAAAACAACTATGCAGCTTGCAAGCTTGCAAAGAGGGAAGCTAGACACACATGCTGAGCCCCTCTCCCAGTGGGGCATATGTGACAATGTCATAGCTATTCCCTGTGGCCTCCAAAGTCCAAGAGGTTCTGTCCAGTTGACATAACAGAGGTGGGTCCTCTAATGCCAAAGCCAGTATTTCTTTCATTACTCATAGACTTGGTATGAGAGCCCCAAATACATCATAGGAAATGCACCTAGAGGCTACACAGGTAGGGAAACTGAGACCCAGAGGAGGGACTTGGTCCAGACTGCACATGGAGTCAGTGGAAGGAGCCAGGCCTAGAACCTATTGTTCTGATGTTCAGGCCTGCGCTTTCATCGACCCTCCCCAGGACACTCGCTTCCTTTCAGTTGCCCGTAGACTGACAGGTGTGCGTGGATGCTCAGGAAACCATGTGGAGAGGAATGGGACCCTAATTTCCCAGTGAGTTAGACTGTATGACTTGGTCCCCAGGGACTCTACTCCTATTACCCCTCATTCTATTGGGATGTTTCTCATTCCTAGCATCCAGTTCTGCTTCTGAATGTCCACCCACTTGGCTGTGAAGCCAGATAAAACAAGTTAATCCTTCTTCCATGACGGCCATAAAAATAGTTAAGGACATCTGTACTGTCTTTCTCCCACCTCCTAACTAGCCTGGACCAGATTTTTTCTTCTCCAGATTCACTTTTGTGTCTTTAACATTTAGATTTGAATCTACATTGTACTATCTTACATTACTTTTTTTTTGGGGGGGGGTCCCAGGTGTGTGATTTAATTGGCCTAGGGAGCTCTCAGTATGGAAATGTTTTCCTTCAATGCACATAAGCAAAGGCTTTGTAAAACTTAGAGGTATGAATGACTGGTCCATGGTGTGATTTATAAAAACTCTGTATTCTTACTTTCTGGTAATGTCTAATATTACAGATTACTCGTAGGTCTTTGCAGATTTCCAGTGGTCTTTTAAGCCACTCATTGGGTGATTTGTCAACTTGGGTTTCCTATAGTATGGAAAGAAATTTGCACTAGTCTGGGTTCTAGTCCTGGCTTTGCCACTAGCAGTTAGTTGGGTGTTTGAAGAAGATGTTTTCATCTCGAGTCTTATTTCTTCATTTGCTTTTTTAAAATGTGGACAGACTAGATTTAAAAAAATTTTTTTTTTAATCTTCTGTTTTCCTATCACTTAGATCTCCCCCTATATTCATAATTCCTCCTCTTGGAGAGCCATTACAAATAATGTGAACATTGAAAAAAATCTGAGGGTATGTGCATGCACTTGTGAATCCCCTAGCCCTTGCAAAGGAGCAGGGAGAGGTTAGATTAGATAATTTCTGATGTCGCTTCCACGGAGCACTGGAAGAGAAGGTAGGATTTGGAGCCACAGAGTTGGGGTTCTAATTCAGCCACTTACTTCTTATGGAACCTTGGGCGAGTAACAGCCTCTTTGGGCCAGTTTCCTCATCCTTCAAATAAAAGAGTTGCTCTAGAGAAAGAGTTCTTAACATGGAATCCATGAACTTGTTTTCTTAACATTTTGTTAACTGGATTTCAATATGATTGGTATCCTTTTTAATCTTATGTGTTTTGTTTTGTGAATTTAAGAGCACTGCTCTGAGAAGGGGTCTCTGGACTTCCGCCAAATTGCCCAAAAGGTCCATGACACAGAAATGGTTAAGAATCCCTACATTAGGGCATCCCTAAGGTTTCTTCCAGGTGCAGATTTGATTGACTTATTGTAGATATGCTAGGTCCCTGTGTCTTTCTCGGGGGCATAGCTAAACAGATGTTAATGACGTGGTAGAACTTGGCTGGTAATTCTTATCTCTCTTTCCTGAATTTCCTCATTAGGCAGGGAGCCAAGGACTAGAGAACAGTGGCATGTTTTCTTATCTGTTTGCTGGAGTCCCATTCCATCAATAGAAGTCATCCAAAGTCCCATTTCTCCTCTAAGTAAAACCCTCCACTCCCCCACTGGTACCATTCACTGAAAATATCAATCAGCAGGTGACACAAGAGCTCTAGTGACATCACGTGACCATTTCCTAAGGGAAGTTGGGGAAAAGTGGGGGGACAGCCTTTTAAAAAAATTATAAAATATAAAATCTTGAAGGGAGGAGCACTGACTTAAATTCTAGAGTGCTGGAAGTGCTACCCAAGGCTACTCTTTGAAGTTTGGGTTGTTTAATGGAAATTGCTGGCAGCTGAGACCTGGGACTGTATCTTGGCTCTGCCTCTATCTAACTCTTGACCTTGGGCAAGTAAAATCACTTCCCTTCTCCAGTTATCCTTTTCTTCCTCTGACCCAGAGGATCTGAGGGTTCTCTGAATCTTTGACATGATGAAAGAAGTCACCTAAAGACAAAGGGATCACACTACATTGCTTGGGAATGAAACTTGGAAAAACTTCCTTTCTTCCAGGAAGTACTGCAGACACAGCTTGAAGATGTTTAGACAAAACCAAGGGTGATAGAGCCATGGTTTATCAAAGAGAAGGTCGGCATTTGGGGGGAATGTCGTGAGTCTTTTCCTCATCATGTGCCTCTGTCAGAGAAATATTCCCAGGCTGGTGAGGGAATTTGAGGTTGATACAGGATGATAATTCAATTCAGCAAATCCTTAGGGCACCTGTTGCGTGTGAGGGATACAGACACAAGGAGACAAACAGCCAGTGCTCTTGAAGAACTTTTATGTTCTGCTTTGGGGATACAGGTCCACAGATAAGCAAAACAGAAGGCAATTTGAGATGGGAGGGAGCACTAGCAATTCCAAATTGTTAGGCATTTATTAAGTGCTTACTGTGTGCAAGGCACTGTGCGTACAAAGAAAGGCAAAATTATTCCCTACCCTCACAGAGCCTACAACCTACATCCGGACATGTTATATACAGCAGGATTGCTTTGAGCTAATATTGGAGGGGAGGTTTGTGAAGTAGTGGTTGGAATGCTGAGTTTGGAGTTGCGAAGTTCAAATCCTGCCTTAGACATTTACTGTGTGTGACCCTGGGCGAGTCACTAAACCTTCTGGAGGCACCTTTAAAAAAAGCAGGGTTGGGACTCTTTGGCCTTTAAGGGTTCCCCTCCAGCTCTAGATTGATAATCCAGGGGCAGCTGGACAAGTAGCTCAGTGGGTAGAGTGCCAGACCTGTGGTCAAATGCAGCCTCAGATACTTACTAGTTGTGTGACCCTGGGCAAATCACTTCACCCTGTTTGCCTCAGTTTCCTCATCTGTAAAATGAATTGGAGAAGGACGTGGCAAACCACTCTAGTATCTTTGCCAAGAATACCCTGAGTGGGATTACAAAGAGTCAGACTTGACTGAACAACAAAAATAACTTAAGTTAATGAAAGGATTTCGTAAAATTTAATGACAAACAATATTTAAAAAAACAGCACAGTGCCTGGCACATTCTAGGCTCTAATGAAATGCATGTTATCTTCTCTAGGGAAGGTATCAGTTGAGCTTGAACCGTAGGGGAAAGTGAAAGGGGAATGCAGTTTATGACTGTCATGACGGCGGGCAGAATGTTTGGGAGGTGCCTAATAATCCCGTGGCTAGAAAGGTAGGTTGGACTCCAGGTGGTATGATAACAAGCATTTTTGTTCTCTTTCTCCCTCTGCAGACTCTACTGGGAAGTACTGGATGGTGGGAAATGAGTCATCTGTCACCAGCAGCAGCAATACTCCAGTGGACTTCTTTTTCGAGTTCTGCGACTATAACAAAGTGGCCATCAAAACCAATGGCCGGTATCTGAAGGGCGATCATGCTGGGGTGCTGAAAGCTTCCACAGAGGCCATCGACCCTTCTACACTCTGGGAGTACTAAATGCACTTTAGTGTTGGGTTTTCCCACCTCCCACCCAACCCCCACCCACCCCAACCCAGTTCCCAGATCCTGCCCTGATGATAGTTTTCATTTCCGCCTTTTTCTTTTCATCCATCTTGCCTCTCTCTGCTCCTTACCCTGCCCCCACCTCAATCTGTGGAAGGATTTCAGGATGGCTTGCTATATTCCTACCTTTTTTTTTTTTTTAAATCTCTCTTGCCTTCTCTGTTTTCAGGGGTTTGTTTTGCGTGTTGATGGTGTGGGGATGTGGGAAGAAGTCTTTTGCCTTTCAAACTGGAAAACCCAGAGAAAATGGTGCATCATCTCATGCCTTTGTAGTTTGCTTGGTTTGGGACGTTCTCCTTGCCCGCCATTTTGGGGGCAAGGCAGGAAGTGTCATCAGCCTAATCCCATTCAAGCAAACACAAGGAAAATTTTTAAGAATCATCTCCACCCTCTCTTCTGTGCCATAGTATGGTGCTGGTACCTTTTTCTTTTCTTTTCTTTTCTTTTTTTTTTTTTTAATTCTGACCTCTGGTGACTCTGTGCTGCTGTTGAACCCTACTGCCTGCCTGCTTTGACTCTGGCAAATGGTGCTATGAGTAGGCTTTCAGGGCTAGTGGGACCAGCGTTATCTTTAACCATGGGTTAGGATGGAAGAAGCACTGAATTCTGGGCCCAGGCATGAGGCAACCAGCCTCCTCAGAGCAACAGCCTGAATGAACTTTGCTAGCTGCCTCCCTGGAGGAATCACTAGTGTGGTGGCCTGACTACTAAAATGAGAAGTCAAGAGAGAGTGTGACCAGCTTATTTCCCGGACTGGTCCACTGATTTGTAGGTGGTACAACTAGAAGTTAGCTTATAGCCTTTAGACCCAAGGAAACCTCCTGTGAGACCATGGTGGTATTGCTAGCATCTTCTCTGCCCTAGATTACCACCTTCCTTCCCCCCTCGTAAGGAAAAGATAAATAAACCAAGTGTTCTAGGAATGACTTTCCTGCCAACTTTTACCAGATGCTTCCCTAAAAGCCGGGCTCCCCCAGTGGCTAAGAGAGCATCCCATATTGAGCATGTGTGACCCGATTGGATTAACTGGGCACTCTTGGTCATATCCAGAGCCCTTTTCTGTCCGTGGGAAGGTGACATCTACCTCTGTGGTGGCACTAGACCCCCCCCCCCGGGTGCCTTCCAATTTTTCAGCCAGGTAATCTCCCTACCCGTCCACACCCTCAACCCCTTAGGAGAAGGAATACTATTGCCTTCAAGCATGGCTGGGCAGGGATAGGACACCCCGGCTTAGGGGTTGCTAAGCTTTAAACTTGGGGATAGAAGCCTAGCCATATGTTAAATTTTCTGCTGGCTAGTACCCAAACCCTTGGAGCTGCTACAGGTGCTTTAGAAGTAGTGGGCTGGATACAATACCCTTTGGTTGAAAAGAGCCAAGCTGACTTGCTTTTTAGTTTCCCTTCTCTCACTTTCCATGAATAATGGTTGGAATTGCAAAAAAGAAGGTAAAATATCCATTCGTAGACCTTGCTTGGCAAACTTTGCACAGTGGTGGTGGTTCGGTCTTTTTTTTGTGTGTTGCTTTTTTTTTTCCCTCCCTCCTTATATAATCTACTGGAAACCTCTAACCTAACTGCACATTTTTTGTTTTAACTGCTAGATGCCCATCCCCAATTGTAGCTGCTCCGTTGCCCTGTGGCTGGAATGCTCTTTGGGATTCACTCAACCCTTATTTTCCCAGTCCCCTCCCCCTTCCCCCTTTTCCAGGGGCTCTCCCTTCTGCAACGATGGCATGAAAATATCCTATGTTACTGGACGCAGAGAAATGACCAAAACAGTATTTTTTTTATATCTATTTATATAAGCTCTCCGTGGCACTATCAGATGTCGTCTGTAATTGGTTTGCATTAGAATATAACAGTGTGAACGTCTGTAAGAGGTGATGCTGAACCTTCAGGGTTGATGCAGGCGCTGAGGAGGGATTCTCCTCAGAAAGCGTTGCTTCTTTGTCTGCCGACTCCCTGCCTGCTTGCTATCTGTGCCTCCCTCCCCTCTTGGCTGCCTCCCTCCACCAGCTAGAGTTGGAATGTGAGCTCCCCTCTATCCCCTTTCCAAGCTAAAAGTAGTTGTAACCCCCATCCTGCTTACCAGTGGGGGACTTCTTTCTTTTGATAACTCCCCTTTTCTGGTGGGTTTGACTGGCTCCTGTAGGGGACCCCCCCACACACACACACACCTGCTTCATCTTCAAACCTTGCCCAGCTCTCACGTACAGGGGAATTGCTTTCTTGGCCCTTTCTGCTTGAGGGTCAGGAAGAAACGTGCTAAGAGAGGACGGTACCCATGATTGAGAGAAAGGAGAAGAGCACTCCCTCAGACGCCTTATCCCCTCGTTGCCTCCTGCCCTCTGGGTTGGTGCTTAATGTCTGTAACTGGAATCTGAAATTCTTGTGGAGGGGACTTAGAACCAACCCTGCCTGGTTCTTCCTTCACCATTGTATGTTGTCAGCCCCTTGGATCTCCAGGGGCTTCAGATAGAACTTTTGGGAGACCAAAGCCATGTCTTAAAGAGAGAACTTGGGCAACCTGAAGTCACCGTGTGCTTTCTGGCCTTCCCCTGCCTTCAGCTTTGGGCGCCCTGCCCCTGCCCCATCCCATCCATTCCCAAATAGCCATCTGGCCCCTGGTTGCCTCCTTGCTGGCTTCTCCCTGTGAAAGTAGGTTGGGAATCCTTTTTTCTGTCTCTTGTATCAGGTGTCGTGGCTCCAAAAGCAGCCCTTTCGGGTGGTAAATTTTCAGTTTTTAAATTTTTTTTTTCCAAGTGCCATTTGTATAACTTAAATCACAAATAGCTTCGACTGGAAAATAAAAAAAAGTTAAAAAAAGAACAAGAACAATGAATGTTTCTGACAGTGCTTTGTGCGTTTGGGAAATGAGATGGGAAAAGATTGGGAGAACCACAAATGATTCAAGTTGGTGGAATGGTGTAGGGAAGGGTTACAGACCCAGGAAGTGTTTTGTTCTGTGGATCAAGGTCCCACACAAAGTATGTTTAATTTAGTATTTTATTTTCCCCAGCTACATGTAAAAACAATTTTTAACATTCATTTTTAAAACTTTTGAGTTCCAGATTTTCTCCTTTCACTTCCTCCACCCTCCCGAGTTGAGAAGGCAAGCAATTGGATATAGGTTATACATGTGTAGTCATGCAAAACATATCCATAATAGTCATGTCGTGAAAAAAAAAAAACACAGACCAAAAGAAAACTTAAGAAAATAAATTAAAAAAATATATGCTTCAGTCTGTATTCAAACACCATCAGTTCTTTCTCTGGGGATAGATAGCATTTTTCATCCTAAGTCCTTCAGAGTAGTTAAATCATTCACATGCTCATCTTACAATATTGCCCTTGCTTTGTTCACAGTACATTTCACTTTGCATCAGCCCAGTCTTTCCAGGTTTTTCTGAGAACATCCTGCTCGTCATTTCTTATAGCACAATAGTATTCCATCATAATCACATACCACAACTTGTTCAGCCATTCCCCAGTTGATGAGCATCCCTTCAGTTTCTAATTCTTTGCCCCCAGAAAAGAGCTGCTACAGCAAATATTTATTAAGCACCTACTATGTGGTAGACACGGGATACAGAAAGAGAGCAGTCTTTGCCCCAGAGGGGCTTACAGTCACTGGGGGAAAACATTCACACGTAACTATATATTTGTATACACACACAGATAATAGATATTAAGATGGGGGGGGGAAGAAAGGTACTTTTGTTAGGAGATGACAGACAACCTGAGCCATGAAGATCATTAGAAATTTCAAGAAAAGATTGGGAGGGAAAACTCTGAAGCATGGGAGGACCTACCTAATGCAAATGCATGAAGGTGTGGAATGGAATGTCTTCATGATGGGAAATTGATGTTTCTGTCACCTAGGAACTAAAGAAGTGGCTTCAAAAGACCAGAATTTGCTACTGAATTAGAGACCTTTATTCAGATTGCAGAGTGAAGTAAGCCACGCAGAACCAGGAAAACAATTTAAATAATAATATGGCAAAAGTAAACAACTTTGAAAGACAAATCAGATTAACAACCATGATTCATGATTCCAGAGGACCAGTGGTGAAACATGCCTCCCACCTCTTGATGATACAAGTGATGGATATTATTTATAGATATATGTGTATGTGTACATATATAATTTGTGGGTGTATATATAATTGTACATTTTACAAATTTCATATTTTGATATTTTATAATATATAAAATGTACACACATATATAATTTCTTTTGCTTGACTTCATGTGTGTTACAAGAGTTTCATTTTTTTTTTCCAATGAGGGAACGCAAGAGAGAGAAAATAAGATTTTTGTTCATTGAAAAAAAATTTTTAATTTGCAGACAGGAAATTAGAGGCATAGCCCCTGGTTTAAAATAACGAGTCATGTTTTGAAATTACTTTCTGAGAAGGTGATAGCCTCTCTATAGACTATATAGACTAGCCAGTCTGTATCTGGAATGCTTAGTTTTGGGTACATCTCACATCTGGATTATTTTGTTGATGAATTACAGTGTATCCAGAGGAGGGTAATCAAGGAAATGAAGGGCCTAGAAACTTTCAGGGGGAGAGATTGAAGAAATTGGAGTTGTATAGGCAGGAAGAAGCATGATGTGGACTGGTAGACAGGATTGCTAGGTACAAGAAGGGTTGACTCATGGAATAAGACTTAGAGGAGACATCTGTGTGAAATGTGAGCCACTTCCCACTGTGAGCTTCAGGCTTCTGACGAATGAGGACGCTGGACTAGATAGGGTCTCTAAAGTCTTTCAGCTCTAAGCCTTTGAGCCTATTATTTCTTCTGTATTACTTTAGAGGGCAAAAGTGGTACCAGTGAATGGTGTCACAGGGAAGCAGGCCTCAGGTCAACATTAAGGAACAGCTTTGTAAGAGCCAAGTGGGGCAAGCTGCTCGGGCTACCGATGGCTGGAAGGATTGAGACAAAGGCTGGTTGATCATTTGTCATGCATGGTATGAAGGGGATTCCTGGGCTGGTGTTCTACAACCCTGTCCAAATGAAGTTTCCAAGATTCTATCACTGGTTCCCCAGCACCACCACTTCTTCCTTTTGCCTGGAAACATGGGTTCAGTACAAGGCGATTAAGTGATTTCAGAACTCCAGTGGATGCCCTGAGAAGACATCCCAGGGGGTTCTGCTCCCTCTGTGCAGCCACCCACCACCCCCATCCTGGGCTGTAGCAGCTAGTCACATAGAGCGGTGAGGCAGGTGTTCAGCCAAAGCTTCCAGCTGTTGCTAATTAGCAAGTTGGAATGCTAGCCTTTCCCTATCAATATCTGCTTCCCTACAACCCCTGTGAGGCCTTATTCTACTCTTTCCTCCCCAGTTGCTCAATTGATTGGCACATCACCAGGGCTAGAACTAGGGTAGAGTGACTGGGGCTTTGCTTCAGGGTGATATCATTTTCAGTCCTTTAGCAGCCCAAGAAATAACAACTCAACATGTAATAAGCAAGAATAATGAGTTTGAAGCAGTAAGCTACGAAGTGACCTCTCCCTATAGCTGTGGCAGCCCCAATTGGGTTTCCTCAAGAGTGTCTGCCCCATTCCTCCTTCAGATGAACTTGTCTTAGAAGTTGATTTGAAATCTGGCCTCAGACACTTGACACTTACTAGCTGTGTGACCCTAGGCAAGTCACTTAACCCAGATTGCCTCACCAAAAAAAAAAACCAAAAACCAAAAGTTGATTTGAAGTTGTGCTTTGTGCCTCTTATCCCAAGTATAAAAACTTAGTTACAGCTCTATATATCCACAAGGGGATAGTCCTTACCCTCAAGGAATTTACAAGCTGAGGATAAAAGACATTAATATGAATGGATGTATTGGATAATATGTCAGTGGGTCTAAGAGAGAGAAAAAACCTTTGAGGTTTATAAAACATTTTACAAATATGTCATTTTGATCCTCGCAACAACCCAAGGAGGGAGGTGATGTTATATAGGATCCCCATTTTACTGGGGCAAATAGAGGTTAAGTGACTTGCCTAGGGTCACATAGCTAGTAAGTGTCTGAGGCTAGATTTGAATTTAGGTCTTCCTAACTCCAGAGCTCTATCCACTGCACCACCTACCTAGCTTCCGCAGTGGGTGTGCAATATTGCACACAATATCTTACTTAGTGGGTGTTCTAATTAGTTTTACTGAACTGTTTTTCCCTCTCTTTATTCTTTGTTATAAGAGATGGGAAGGGGAGGGATATATTGGGGAAATGTAGGTGAAGGAAAAATAAAAGGTATCAAAAATTACATTTTTAGAAAAGATTTCATGGAGGTAGAAATTGAACTGGGTAGGATTTAGGTAATGGGCAACTAGGTGGTGCAGTGGATAGAGGACAGGATCTGGAGTCAGGAAGATCTGAGCTCAAATCTGGCCTCAGACACTTACTAGCTATGTGACCCTGAGCAAGTCACTTCACCTTGTTTGCCTCAGTTTCCTCTTCTGTAAAATGAGCTGGAGAAGGACATGGCAAATTGCTCCAGTATCCTTGCCAGGAAAATCTCAAATGGGGCCACGAAGAGTAGGACACAACTGAAATGACTCAGTAACAGCAGGATTTAGGTAGAAGGAAAGGAAGCACTATTAGATTAAAGAAAAGACTCAGAGGTAGAAAAGCTCAAATGGGAATAGGAGTGTTAGGGGACCAGTCTCGCTGGGATGTCTTGTCACCAAGACGTAGTCACCAGATCACAGATTTAAAGTTGGAAAGGACCTTGCATCATCTAGTCCAGTCCCCTCATTTTGTAGATGAGGAAACAGGCCCAAGGAGCCTGTGATGTGCCTAAGGTCATACAGGCATAGTCCTAAGTGTCACAAGTGGGATTTGAGCCTAAGTCCCATTGTAGGAGGCAGCTAGGCGGCACAGTGGGTAGAGAACTGGGCCTGGAGTCAGGAAGATTTGAGTTCAAATCCGGCCTCAGAGGCTTCCTAGCTGAGTGATCCTAAGCAAACCTCTGCCTTAAACCACAGGAGAAGAAAATGGCAAACCACTCCAGTAGCCTTGCCAAGAAAATCCCACGGACAACTGCTGTGCTATGGTCCATGGGGCCATGAAGAGCTGAACACCACTGATTAACTCAACAGCAGCCCTTTGTAGTAGAAGGTTGGGGTAGGATAACTACGCTTGAGAGCTGCTGATGTGGGCTTCACCCCCTGCTTTCACTGGGATGAAGTATAGGGAAAGACCCAGAGAGGAAACCATCAAAATATAGTATTCCCCTTCAGCTCCAAAGATCTAATGAGGCCCAGAGGCTACGTCACTGGGGCCATTCTGCCACCCAGCATGCGCCTCTGCAGCAAAGCCCCTTTGGTTACCCACAAAGTTTCCTTCCTACTATTCTTTGCTGTCTCCTCTCCCTTCTCATCTCTGCTCTCTGGCTTCTGGAGGAAGTCAGAGAAGACTCCATTCAAATCTCACCATTGGTCTACGGGAGGCCCTTCCCACTCCCCCTTGCTGCCTGTGTCTTCCGTCTTAAATCATCTTCCACTTATATTATTCATCTCATATGTACAGATGTTGAATCCCCATTAGAATGTGAGCTTCTCGAGGGCAAGGACTAACTACTCTTCGTTTTTCTTGGTTTCTCCAGCACTTAGCACAGTGCTTGGCTGAAACTAAATGCTGGTTGACTGACCAACACCCCAGGCTTTCACATCTCAAACAAGGGACCTCCCCACACCCACACCCACACCCACAACTGTTATCCCTGACTATCTGGATGAGTCCTAAGACTTTCTTGCCAAAAAGGAAGCATGAGGCCCTGTGTGGTGGGAATGAGTAGCTTTGGGCCTAGATGAGTGAGATGCCACAGAAAACTG